CTTCCTTCTTGGGCACGATTCGTGGAGCAGCGGCCCACGTCGATCGGTTGTTCAAATAAACCATGTTGTTGGCTTGAAGAGCAGCGACATGCTCCCGCATGTATTCGACATGCGCCGGCGGATAGCGCCGCATGCCACACTTAACAGGCACCGAGTTGGGCTTGATGCGTACCTTCAACGGTTCCACCTTGACGGGCGCGTCGTCGCCCAGATCTTCTCGGAACACGTCCACATGCTTGGACAGCAGGATCTTCACCCGTTCCAAGTCGCTGGGAGCGAGACCACGCGTCTCAGCTTCTGCGACCTTGGCCATCAGGATGCCAAATACCTTGTCGCGCTTCATGCGATGCCGCTCGTCTTCTTGGTCGCTTGGCGGCGGGATTTCGACCTCTGGCGAGGCACACGCCATGCCATCGGTATCGGCGAGCTCGGGCTCAGGCGAATAGCGTTCTTCAGCCAAGAGATGTTGCACGCGTGACATGCTGGTCACAGGTCCGTCGCTGCCGGGGGAAACGTCCCACTCGGCTTGCTGCCGTCGAGCGCCGTTGAGTAGGTCGTCAATAGAAAATCCCAGGACCTCCATAACAGGACGACTCACGATAAAGTCCATCGCAGTCGATGTCTCGTCAATCCACGCTTGTAGGCCGCGTAGCGTTAGCGGGCCACACGTCGTGTCCAACGTCACCATGCCAAACTTGACATGCCGCTTCATCTCCAGCGACATGACGTCGACACCATAAGGGTAAACCAGACGTGGTTGGTCGTGGACTTGAACCGCGACCGTGGCATTCTTCTCTGCTAACGCATCCGTGACGCCACGTGAAACGACGTTGACTTCTGCGCCCGTGTCGAGGAGGACGTTCTCGACTCGAACGAGTCCTTCGACCAATGCACCGCGCTCGGTCGGATGACGAATGGGGTGGCTGCTCAGAGCTGTCACGCCATCGCACCACTTCTTCAGCTGCGCATCCAATAAGCGGCCCGCCTCGCCAGGCGTGGCCGCAGGGCAATCTGCCACGTAGTGACTCTTGTCGCCACACTTCAGACAGCCAAGCTTCTTCCTTGGCTTGTAATCTTCTTTTACGCCGGTAACGGCTGGCTTCTCGACCCTGACGCTCTGCCATTAGCTCTTCCGGTGCCGTCGGATCTACCACGGCCTTTTTCGGGACCGTAAGGCCTTCCACGGCTCTTGTCGGCGCCGTTGGGCTTGCACGGTCGCTCTTCAAGCTGTCCGTCTTGGAGGCGCCGGCTTGTGGCGCAGGTGTCGTCAGTTTTCAGCTCTTCGTCGAGACCGACGTAGAGCTGAAAACCAGCTGAGAATTCTCGCAACCACTTGACGTAGCGGAAGATGTCACTCTTGAGGCCCTTGTTCCTTTGCAGCTGCTTCTGCACAGCGGCCTTCAGCGTCTCAGGCTTGATCGCCTTGATCATAATCTCGACAAAAAATTTTCCTTCTTGATGAAGGACCCATTCTTGGTGGTCTTGTTCGAGCACACGCACAAGGTCGTCAAGCATACGGCCGACAAGCGACTCCGCGTCGAGGACCTTCGTGTCGAAACGTATGGCACTAGAGAGCCGCCTCTTTAGGACATCCAAGTCTTGCGGATCTTGATCGAATGCCGCGTGGAACCAGGCCACCCATACCACTTCCGTGACATCGTTGTGGTCCTTGTTCATGTCGAACAAAGCAATACGACTCTTGGAAAAAGGGTCCATGCAAGCATTGACGGGCATCGCGAACGGGCGAGAACCCACACATTGCAGCGCATTGATTTGCGTCAAGTATTTCTGGTACTCGCGCATGAACGCACACCGTTCCGCCTTCGTAGAACCCTTGAACAGAGGGGCCTGAGGAATAGCAGGCGCGTTCCAAACTTGACGCACGAAACCGTCGTCGTCGCCCATGTTAATGTCTTCCATGGGGCTATCTTGAGCAGCTTCTTGGGCGGCGGCGGCACCTGTCGCGCGCGTCGATTCGGCTTGATCGGCGCCCATCGCGAAAGCTTCTTCAGGTCGCTCAGCTGGTAGAGGCGGGCCGCCATAAGGTGCGGGACTGGTCGGGTACCCTTCGCCTTGGCGAAACCACGCGTCCGCGGAAAGAGGAGCTCGTCGTCTCGGGGATCGAAATGGGTTGGCCACTTGGCGCCGGACGGGGCGGCCACTGGCTGCTCGCCACGTTCACGTGAACGCGAGCGGTCTTCGCCGACCGTAAGGTCAACGATGTCTTCGTTGGGAGAACCGTTCCGAGCCATGT